AATTCCAAGGACAAATAAACAACACACACATACACATACACACACACACACACACACACAAACTTCTTCTGCGGCTGGTGAGATGGGTCATCGGGGAAGGTCTTGCCATCAAGCCTGACAACTTGTTTGATCCCAGGAATCCACATGGTAGAAGGAAAGATCTGACACTCAAAAGTTGTCCTCTGACTGTAACAAGCTCAACAGGAGCACCATGGCAGTCAGGCATACACACACACACACACACACACACACACACACACACACACACACACACACACACCAGGAAACTTTCTTTGTATTCACTATGATTTATCACACAAAAGCTTCTTTACACCTATTAAAACGAGTTATTTTTAACATTTATACTAAATGTTAGAGCAGTGGGAAAATGTTGAGTAGGTACAAGTGAAAGGCCGGCCAACATCCTCTTTTTTATATTAATTTCCTTCCCTTTTCTAGGAAACCCAGATTTGATTCTCTCCATTACCTCTACCAGAGTACTAGAACTTCAACTGAATTGGCAAACTATTTTTTTTTTTGGTCCAAATGCTATTTTCTAGCTTTTTAGATTTAAAGCTTCCAGTGATTTTCCCTGTCTTTACTTCTACTGGAATTACCTGGCAGTTTACAAATTATAACACAATCACTGGCTGTTAAATAGCTATTTGTAGCAGGAACATATGTCTCAGTCCGTGTGTGTGTGTGTGTGTGTGTGTGTGTGTGATTGCACCATATCTGTATAGGTGCTAGCAGAGATTAGAAGGCATCAAATTCCCTGGAGCTGGAAGTTGTGAGCTGCTATCATGGGTGGTGGAAACTGAACTCAGGTCCTCTCAAATAGCAGGAAGTGTTTTTAACCATGGAGCCATCTCTCTAGGTTCTAGAATTTGTTAGGATGTTCATGAGTGTCAGAATAGTACATTGGTTTCTGCTGTTTGTTTTTTGAGACAGGTTCTCACACACCACAGGCAGTCCTAGAACTAGATATGTAGCTAAGGATGACCTTGAACTCCCAATCCTTCTACCTTGACCCACCATGTGCTGGGATTTTACAGGTGTGGCATGCTCCACAGCAGAATAGTTTTTGATCAAGAAAAGATTCAGAGTCTAGAAAGAATGATAATTAGAAAAACAAAATACATGTGTTGGCATTTTATACATATTTAAAAGAATTACAATCTAAAAATAACTAGGATGACTTTGCAGAAAAAGTCTGAGATACAGGAATGGATGAAATAAAAAACCATAAGTTTGATGGGTGGTGGTGTTGCACACCTTTAATCCCAGCACTCAGGAGGCAGAGGCAGGTGGATCTGTTTGAGGCCAGCCTGGTCTATGAAGCGAGTTCCAGGACAGCCAGGAGAAACTCTGTCTTGAAAAGCTAAAAACCAACCAATAAACAAACAAAACAACCCCCTCCCGAGAAGTTCATTCAGTATGCTGACTATGAAAGATGTATGTAAAAGAGTACAGTATTACATACATGGAAAACACCTTCCTTTAGGGAGTGAGACTGGGAGAAGCAGTGAGTTCACATTGTAGACACTTGAATACCAACTGAAAAATGTTTTTTTTGGAGACAAGTTCTCACCGTTTAGCCCTGGCTGGCCTGGGACTTGGGAGTTCTACATGCCTTTGCCTCTTGAGTGTTGGGGAAAAAGTGTGTGCTACCACACTGGCAGAAAATATTTTTTTTTTTTTTTTTTTTTTTTTTTTGGTTTTTCGAGACAGGGTTTCTCTGTGTAGCTTTGCGCCTTTCCTGGAACTCACTTGGTAGTCCAGGCTGGCCTCGAACTCACAGAGATCCGCCTGGCTCTGCCTCCCGAGTGCTGGGATTAAAGGCGTGCGCCACCACCGCCCGGCTAGAAAATATTTTTAGAGATGTATTATTTGCATAAAATAGCAAAGTGATGTACTGCAAATACAATTATAACACGTGTCTTCATCTTCAAGTTGTGTAAACTATAAGGTAACAATCCTAATACTGAAAATCAATTCACTTACTGGATAGTCGGAGTTCATAGGGCACTGGCCTCTTCTTGTGGCAGTCAGATTACTCTAGATTAGGTGTTGGTCTATCCCTCCTTATTATATTAGTTTACCTCTAGTGTAGCGAGGCTTCTTTGGCAAGTACTAAAATGACTGACCTCTTCTTATGTCTTTTCTCCAGGAATACAAACTACGGAATATTGTCATTTAGAGTGCCCACTCAGAAGCAGAAATGACATACTAATCTCCCATGCTTTAAATCTTTGTATGGATAACCTTTTCAACAGGCATGTAATTACAGCTAAAGGAATGGTTTCCTAAGTACAACCTAATGCTTAAAGTGAGGTAGCTGGCCAACTCCTCAATGGATTAAGTGAAACTGAAGAAGCTAAATGATTAATAGAATTCTTTCAGCATAGTGACATGTAGACTTTACATTTTCTGCATCATCAAACATAAGTATTGTATCAATTTTAAGTTATAGGGAGATGTTTAACATTTGGCTGCATGACTTGTGATACAAACCAGAGGCAGGTTCTTATCTCAGCCTAACATTTAAAATTCTCATCAAACATAACTATCCTTCTCACTGCCTTCTTCAATAATATGCATAATTTAACTCAGACAAAGGAGAAATGGTACTTCATACTTTGCTCTCTCAATTCCTAATTTTTAGGAATGAAGTCCGTGATGGAATGAAACATTTTTATGATCCTGGGGGAAGCCAGGCCTGAAACTTAAGAACAAAACCTTTCTTACATATTATTGTGTTTTGGGACAGGACATTGCTATGTAAACTAGATTGACCTTGAACTTTGTGATTTTCTTGCCTCTGTGGCCCAGGTACTGGGATTATAGGTGCAAACCACCATTCCCAGGAAATGACAAAGTCCTGAAAATTCCTATGTGAGAGTAATACTTAAACTTTAGTAGGTTTTAAATTTAGTCTTCCCTGATATTTTTGTGATAATCATCTCACAAGACAATTCCAATAGCAGTCCCAGCTTTCAAGTGGGGCAGTGCCCCAAGGGGAGAAAAGAATTTGTTTACATCAGTTAAACACCCAAGCCCATCCCTTATACTGTGAGGTCATTGTTACACACTATTTGGAAAAGTAGTAATGCATGCTGTATCTTGCATCTGAACGCTTAAGGGCTTTTGTTCCTCACAGCTGAAATCTTGGTTTAGATTATTTAGAATAACCTAATTCAGAACTCATACTGTGCAGGATGGCTGAATTGTTTTGTCTGAAGACACACTGACCTGATGACATGGAAATTAAAGGGTTTGAAATTTATCCCTGATTCATGGGCTTTTTAATACAGCTAATCTCAGGTCTTAAATGAACTGCCTCAGAGAACTGGAAAGGGCAGTGCTGTGACTAATTCGTGCACGCTGTTGATCTGGTCCACCAGGAAAGGTAAGTAGAGAACACCTTTCTCTGGCAGGGCATATGACAATCAGTCGGCTTCAGGAACTGAAATCCTTCTGCTGGCCTTAAATTATCTAATTGGCACCTTGGGTCTACTCTAATCCAAATAGTTATGTTTCAATGTTGTTTCCTTATTGAGAAGCTTCACATTATGACTTTCATGGTCAAGACAGATACACACTATAATTAAAATGAGAGGGAATGTGAATTAGGTGTGGGGCACATGTTTGTAGTATCTGTAGGCAGAAGCAGGGGGACTGCCACAAAGTTCCAGCCCAGTCAGTTGCTAGTTAGTTACATAAGAACTTCTCACCCCCCTCCAAAAGGAAATGAAAAAAAAATTCCATTGTATTTATACACCATATTTTGTTTGCTAACTTATGGTATTTGCTTATTGTTATTTTTATTTTATTATTTTTTTTTTTTTGAGGCAGAGTTTCTATGGGTAGTATTGGCTGTCCTGGAACTTGCTCTGTAGACCAGGGGGCCTAGAACTCATAGAGATCCACCTGTCTCTGCCTCCGGAGTACTGGAGTACTGGGATTAAAGGCTAGAGCCAACACCTCCTGGCTGTTTTAACATTGACTATTGTATATACTACGGCTACAAGTATGTGTGCACAAATAGCTGTTCACACATCCCTCTGGAGACATTCTTAGAAGTGGGAAAATCTAATTTATGCCATAACACAAGTTGAGAAGTTCACAATTACATGAGACCATGTTAAGTGAAATAAGCCAGTCACAGGAGAAAAGTGGTTCACTTTACAGTGGTTGCCATGAACTGGTGTGAGAAAAGACTAGCATTACTGTTGAGTAAGTTTCAGTTCTCTGCTAGATGAAGTAGTCTTGAAGATAAACTGCTAAGGCTGCATAACGATGTAATAAATGTACTCAGTGACATTGAATTCACACTTTAAAAATACATATTCTTCTGAAGCAAGCTACTGTCTTGAACTGTCTCATTTCTAGAGGAGGTCAAGTGTTGGGCTGAAGAAACATAAGGAACTTGTACATAAAGGAGGCAGAGCCCGGTATGGTGGTGCTCCGTAGAACCAGTACGTGGGAGGTTGAGGCATGCGAATCGCCTAGCTCGGGGCCAGCCTGGGCTACAAAGAACTCCAGCATCAGAAACAAATCCAATCCAACCCAACCAAAGCAAGACATCCAAGGGGGCTTATAGAACTGGGTGTGTGTGTGTGGGGGGGCAGGGGCGGGGGGGGCAGACCCAGTGGCTGGGCCTAAGACAGTGAAAGGAAAACTGAGACAGCCGGTCCGGAGAATGGGGAGGCGCAGAAAAGAAAACCCTCCATTTAATGACAAGGTTCACTGCCCTGTCGCTAGGGTCCACCTACTAGGAGGACATACAGTATCTTCTCAGAGAAGCCTTGAGATTCTTCTGCCCCCAAACCCCCTGAACACGGTGGTGGGGTGGGGTGGGGGTTCCCCGCCTGCCCGCTCCTTTGTCTCCCGCCCCGCTTCCCTCGGACCCCCCCACCCCACCCCCCACCCCCCCCCACCCCGGCTCCCTAACAGTCCCCGAGTCTTCCAAGGTGGGTCTCGGCCACCGCAGCACCAACCGTCATCGCTCCGGCCCCGCCCGTCGGACGCCAGAGCGTGGGGGCGGGAAGAACCGTCCTCGGGCGCCCCGGAAGTCACTGCCCTCCTCGCCCGCCGAGCGCCGCGGCGGGGTTCGAGGCCTACGATTGGCGGGAAGACGACGAGGCCGCGCTACGTGCGGCGGCGGCGGGGCCGTCCCGCCCCCTGCGCTCCCGCGCGCTGTCAGCGTGGGGTGGGGCGGAGCGTGCTCCCCCCCCCGCTCCCTCCGCCCCCCGCCCCCCTCCCCCCCCGCCCCGCCCCGGGCGGCCATTACCCGGAACAGTCCCGGGCCTCGGGGTCAGGTGACCCACGGCGGGGCTGACGGGAGGGGCGGCCGAGGGGCGGAGAGGAGGAGTGAGGAGAGAAGCGAAGGGAGGAGAGAGAGACACACAGAGAGAGAAGGGCGGAGTAGGAGGGAGGGGAAGGGGGCGGGCTGGGAGCGGGTCACGTGACTCGGCATGGAGGAGGCGGCGGCGGCGGCGGCGGCGGTGGCGGCGGCGGTCGGGAGGAGTCGCCCGGGCAGAAGCCGCACTTGTTAGTGTTGGGGGAGGAGGGGGCCGGGACGCCGACACCGTCAGCCGGCGACGCCGCGAAGGAGGCGGGAGGGGGGTGGGGGCGAGGCCAGGCTCCGACCCCCGGCCGAGGGGATGAGGGGAGCATGGGCGCCAAGGAGTCACGGATCGGATTCCTCAGCTACGAGGAGGCGCTGAGGAGAGGTGAGGGGGAGGGGTCGGGCGAGCTGCGGGGAGGCCAGCGCCGGGGCGCCCGGGGGTGGGTGGCCGGGAGGGAGGGAGGCAGGGGCGGCTGGGGCGTGCGGTGCCTGGCGAAGGACCGGAGGCCAGCCGTGGGAATATCGAGGGCAGGGAGGTGGAGTGGGGAGCGCTGTTTGGGAATTGGGGCGCTAGGGGAGGGGGCGAAGCTGTCTCGGTGACGGGGGTACCGGGCGCTGGCTGGCCATTCGATGCGCTCCGGTGGCGTTGTTATCTTGTCTGGGTCCAGGGGAGCCCTGTCCATCGCTTCTGGGATGGTTCAGCCCTTCCTTCCAGGCCCCCCTCATCCTTCAGTGCCATTTTCTCATATCACTCTTTCATTTAAAAAAAAAAAAAAAAAGCCTCCGACAACATGCTAATCTGGTTCCTGACAGCTTTGGCTGGAGAAGAGACGGCGGCTGCAGAGCGTTCTTTTTGCTCCTGGAAGTCCTTTCCTATTAGGGAACCTCTGGTTTTTCCCAGGGTCTTTGCCGCTCTGCTGAGGGCAGTGACCATCCTTCCATTTACTACTGCCACCTCTCACCCTTTCAGCGGTTGACTTTGATTAAAGAAAGACCCGAAATGAAGTTGTGTTTAAGGCGAGAAGAGACTAGGCAAACTGGTGTTGCCATAAGACCTTGTCTTAGGTTTCCTCTCCTCGGACGTTGATCAGACGGGTTTAGTGCACTTGATTCCCATTTCTTACCCTCTCGCTCCCCCTAAAATGGCATTCGGAAATCCAGCATTGTGATACTGTGTTACATCTCCCCTCCAGAGACTGGCCTTGCTGTCAGTCCTAGCCTGCTGCTGCTGCTGCTGCCATTGGCTCTGATTCACACTGTGTTGTTAACAGCCCCAACCCCCTACCACACTCTTGATCCATGATCACTAAAGCTCACGCTAACTGGAAGTGTCTTGCACAGTTTGTGGCCGGAATGTGACTTAATTTTTCATGACTGAGATTTGAGTGTGTGTTTGTGTGGTGCTTGTATTTATTTCCGACGTTTAATGGATTTTCTTGGTAAGAAGTGAAAAACATTAAGCAGATTAGAGGCCAGACATTATTGTTAACAGATTTCTAAGACAAAAAAATTCAGCCGTGCGCCAGGTGGTTTTTGTAGCTTGAGATTGAAAAAGAAAATATGACATTTTAAATAAAAAATAAAGACATTTTAAAGCGAGGATTTAGAAGTGAGATCTAGATCATCTACAAGGAAAATTATGAGTTCACTGGACCCACTACCTAATAAATAGATAAGATGCAGAATTGTAGTTGCATCAGTTTTGGACTGAGCAGAATAGCAAACGTAAGCCTTTCAGTGGTGCCCCCCTCCCCCAATAGCATGATGATTGTTCTAAACACAGTCTTCGTTGAACTTTTTCTCCCTGCTTCAGTATGCGAAATATTCCAAATTCTTGATGTATTTCCAAGCCTAGACCAATCATTTCCTGAATGCTGTTAAGCTTGACAGGTCTGGGGGCAATTAGTCATTGGCTTACCTGGCATGAAACAGGGCACAGTCAAATTGATTTACAGCTGCAAGGTTCAGAAGTGTTTCTAAGTTTAAGGGTGTGAATACCAGTGATATACCTGGTGTTAAGAAATTCTAAAATTAAACTTTATTCCAGCTCTTGCAGATTTATTTTATATCAAATTAAGATTGTACATTTTGTTTTTTTGTTTTTCGAGACAGGGTTTCTATGTGTAGCCCTGGATGTCCTGGAACTCACTTTGTAGACCAGGCTGTCCTTGAACTCAGAGATTCACCTGCTTTTGCCTCCCAAGTGCTGGGATTAAAGGCATGGGCCACCATGCCCAGCAAGATTGTACATTTTAAAATATAAATGAATTGATACATTTTAAAATGACCTGGTGAAAGGTTTTCATCTAATTTGTTCTGAGGTATGTCTGTGGAATTTTAAAATGCATATTTGAAGTAGCAAAGTATGTTTTAAAGTCTTAGTAAAGGTTATTTGGATGTGTTTTTTTTTTTGTCAGTTTTGCTTCAGGGATTTTAAACCAAAAGAGGATCAAGTTGATAAAATAGTTTGTGAGTGTAAACAGGATACGTTTAATATAGGCAACTTTTAAACATGATGCTGCTCACTCAATTAGACATCAGACTTCAAAATTTTGTAGAGCTTTTTCTGAGTCTACAGAATGGCTTGAGAACCTTTTGAGGGCGCCTGAATAAATAGGTGCTAATGCCTGCATCAGTTTTATTTATCTGTTTACTTTGTATAAGGTGAGATGGGGCAGATAGGATTTGACAAATAAAAAACTAGCTTGAGCCAGGCAGTGGTGGCACATGCCTTTAATCCCCGCACTTCAGAGGCAGAGGCAGGTGTCTCTCTGTGAGTTTGAGGCCAGCCTGGTCTGCAAAGTGAGTTCCAGGATAGCTAGTGCTGTTATACAGAGAAACCCTGTCTTGTAAAACCGGAAAAAACAAAAATAAAACAAAAAAGCCAGAAAAAAAAGAAAAGAAAAAATAAACTTGATAGAACTATTTGACCCTTTGGCTTTAATTTAAATGATTGAGCATTATCTACTGCTTATCCATAATTACACAGCATTAAAAAAAAAGTTTGATGTATTACCACAAACAAGAATTGCAGGCAGTTTAACAGCAAAGGGGGACCTTGAAATGCAGTGTTATGTTAGTGACCTAACACTGGACTTGAGTGAAAGAGCAGTCTGGGTTATGTTGGAGGCACTCAAAATTAGGATGAGTTTTGGGTTTATATCCTATTGTGGTTGGACTGCCAGTTATTTTTTTAACTTTTACTTTTCTGAAAGTATGTAACTTTAAACATTTTTGGAAAGATGTGTTAGTGATAACGTTTTTTTTTTGGCTTGTATCGTAAATACCTTGAGATATACAAGAGGCTTGCCTTTTTGTTAAAATATTTGTATTATATTTATTTGTATATGTTTGCCATAGTGTATATATGGTGATCACAGGACACTTTTGTTCTTTTTGTTGTTATTGTTTTGGTTTCTCAGACAAAGTTTCTCTATATAACAGTCCTGGCTGTCCTGGAACTCGATCTGTAGCCCAGGCTGGCCCCAAACTCAGAGAGATCCGCCTGCCTCTGCCTCCGTAGTGCTGAGATTAAAGGCGTGCGCCACCACCACCATTCAGCCACAGGACAGTTTTTGACTCAGGAGCTAGTTCTCATTTAACCATGTGGATCCCAGGGATTGAACTCAGGTTATCGAGTTAGCAGTGAGTACCTTTATCCGCTGGTCCAAATCACTGCTCTAGCTTGACTTTATTATTATTATTATTATTATTATTATTATCATCAATTCTTTTTAATTTGAAGAATGCATGTGTTGTCTAGGGAATTATGCCTGTTTTCATGCATATTGAGAATTTTAATAGCTTTATTTGACATCTCTTTATTTTACCATGTTATATCAGTTTGTAACTTGTGTGTGTGTGTGTGTGTGTGTGTGTGTGTGTGTGTGTGTGTGTGTGTATTTTGAGGCAGGATCTCATTTTGTAGCCCTTATTTTCCCAGAACTCACTATACAGACCAGACTGGCCTTGGTTGGACTCATAAATCTGCCTGCCTCTGCCTCTGTCTGAGTGCTGGGATTACAGGTGTCTACCAACAGGCCTGGGGTATAGCTTGTATATTCTCTGTGTGTGTGCATGTGCACACACATGCTTTCTCAAGAACACACACACACACACACACACACACACACACACACACACACACGCACATACACATCTCTATGTAGCCCTGGCTGTCCTAGAACTTTCTATATGGACCAGGCTGGCCTCAAACTCACAGATTTTCACCTGCCTCTGCTACGTTCTAAGATTAAAGGCGAAGCTTATATATTCTTTCTTTTTTTTTTTTTTTTTTTTGGTTTTTCGAGACAGAGTTTCTCTGTGTAGCTTTGCGCCTTTCCTGGAACTCACTTGGTAGTCCAGGCTGGCCTCGAACTCACAGAGATCCGCCTGGCTCTGCCTCTCGAGTGCTGGGATTAAAGGTGTGCGCCACCACCGCCAGGCCGAGAAGCTTATATATTCTTAATAATGTGTTCTGAGTCCTCAGGACACAGCATTTAAAAAACATTGGACGAGGGTTGGCATAGTGGCACATGACTAATGTCAGCACTCAGGAAGCAGAAACAGGCGGATCTCCGAGTTTGAGGCTAGCTGGTCTACAGTGAGCTCTTGGCCAGCTAGGGCTTCAAAGAAAACTTGGATGACAAACATTTCAGAATTCAGAGCAAAATTAAACATTTTCTTTACTTTATTTGTTCTCTGCACCTCTTTCTTTCTTCTTTGTAGAAACAGGATTATACTTTCTCCCCCTTTTAATTAAGGATCGACAGGCAGATTTAAAATGTTCTTGACTGTATAGTGTATTAATTTCTCAATCCTTTCTTTCTTAGTGCTGAGACTCTTACCTAGGACCTTGTGTATCTAGGCAGGGTTCTGCTCCTGAGCTACTTTCTAGCTGTGTCTTTTTTGATACAGAGTCGATGTAGTAGTTCAGGCTGAACTTGAATCTGTTTTGTAACCAACACTGGCCTCTAGCTTGTGGTCTTCCTGCCTCAGCCTCCTAAATGCTAGGATTACAGGTAAGAGCCACTACACATAGCTGTGGATTTTTTTTTCAACAGCAACCTATGAAGATTATTTATTTATTTATTTATTTTTGGTTTTCTGAGACAGGGTTTCTCCTTGTAGTTTTGGTGCCTGTCCTCTGTAGACCAGGCTGGCCTTGAACTCACAGAGATCCGCCTGGTGGTTTATTTTTTAAATGCATTTTTTGAAACAGGGTTTCTCTTTTGAAACAGGGTTTCTTTTTTTTATCCCTGACTGTCTTGGAACTCACTTTGTAGACCAGGCTCACCTTGAACTCAGATCTGCTTTCCTCTGCCTCCTAAATGCTGGGATTAAAGGCTTTGGCAACCTCTGCCTGGCTAAAATATGCTTTTAGTT